AGTATAAACGAGTAGATATGATTTTTAAATCAAATGTATTAAAACTTGGATCATCCTTTAAATATAGAGGAGTAGATATAATTCCTAATTTTAAGCATGCAATAATCAAATTAAATATATTAAAATTTAGAGGGAGATACGTTCAAGATGCAATACTAAAAAAATAGGGATCGTGCATTGCACGGGGTGCACGCTAGTTCCTTTATGGTGTATTTGGGAGATGACTAAGTGAAGGGCATGAAGGGAAAAAAAATTTCCTTCCTTCCCTTCCTCTTCTTTACCCCCCAAAATCAGGGTAAGATTTTAGTTCAACTTTCCCCTCATTCTTCTCCTTTACCTTTCTAAATGGAACTCCCAAATAAAGGTAAATCAAAATTTCTCTTCCTATTTCATTCTCTATCCTCCGTCCAAGCATGCTATTAAAGCTAGAACTATCTTTTCCTTTGAAAGACTCGCTTCACTTCAACGTTATAGATGCCATGAATTCCATATGAAGGAGAAAACAAAAAAGAAAAGAAAGAAGGAAAAATTTCATCACTTCTCCATAAGATGTCATAAAAGTGGAAAGACGTACGTCAATTTTGCTATAACACGTCTAAATTTCTTCAGACGTCACCAATTCAATGTCTCGTCGGTTGGATTCATCCCTCCTCTGCGAGGAAGTTTGAAACGCACTAATTGATGCGTACCGAAAAGCTCTCACATTCAAAGGATGTGAAAGCGTTAGTTTGATTTACTTCACGTGCGCATTGATTGATAATAAGAGGAGAACCAAACCCTGTTTCTTCAATATCCTGCCTAGCACGCATCAAGATATGAGTAAGAATTGGCCAATAGATTTATCTCATAATTATCACAAGTATCTTATTGCTAATCTTTCTACCTAATTTGCTCAGTTTCTTGAATAATAAAAGCCATGTACTAAAAACTTATAATTATCACAAGTTATCTTAGATGATCTTTCTACGTACGTAATTTGTTTTGTTTCTCGAATAATATAAACCAAGTACAGTTTTACATGGTTAATCAAGGAAGTAGTGCAAGTGCTAAAATATTTTCCCATAATTTTGGAATATTATCAAAAATCAATTTTTTCGGGCACATATACAAGACATGATGGGATAATAATACTTGTCTATTGTATTAATAGTGCATTAAAAATATTTATGTAATGATTCACTTGTAGATCTTTTTAAGGTGTTCCTATTGTGTGCCCTTACTTAGGGCACACGTTAAGAAGCATATGGAAGTGTGCATAAATTAAATAACTTTGCTTTATTTTTTACTAAAATATATTACGTCGTTGCATATAGATGATTAGAATCACCAATTCGAGATTAAAAAAAAAGGAAAATCAAAATTATTAGACCTTACACATCTATCTATAATCTATAATAATAAAAAGGGGAAAATGCTTCCAGCCCCCAAAACCAAAAAAAAAACGTGCTCCCCCCAAGACTTTTTCAAGAGTGTTTTGCCCCCCAAAATAATTTTTTTTGTTCTCTGAGCCCCAAAACACAAAACCCAAGAGATTAAAATATGTGAAGACCATAATACCCTTCTCTCTCTCTATCATGATATTACTGTAATGATAGTTGAAATTATTGATGGGGATTATTATTTTATTATTATTATTATTTTCGTTGTTGATGAGGGAACTAAGTGTTTTTGTTTGTATTGGGAGATTGTTAATGTTACGGGTTAATTGTTAAGGTTATGGGTCAGTTGTTAAGATTACGGGTTGTTTGTTAATGTTATGGGTCGGTTGTTAAGATTATGGGTCGATTGTTAAGGTTACAGGTTGGTTATGAAGGTTACAGGTTGGTTTTGTAGGTTAACTTCACAACCAAAGTGTAACATTCACAACCAACGCATATCCTTAACAATCAACCCGTAACCTTCACAACCAACCAGTAACCTTAACAACCAACTCGTAACCTTCACAACCGATTCATAACCTTTATAACCAACCATTATCATTAACAACAAATATTCTAAAAATATTTTTAGAATACAAAGAGCTCAATCAAAGACTCTTAAATATATATTATTGTTGTAGAGGTTTGAACCCCTAGCCTCTTGTCCAACCTCCCAAACTTTACCACTAGGCCTAGTGACCCAAAGTATTTATGTCACTCAAAATATATATACATATATATCCCAACGTGTAACATTCACAACCAACTCGTAACATTAACAACCGATCCATAACCTTAACAACTGACCCGTAACCTTAACAACTGATCAATAACCTTAACAACTGACCCGTAATCTTAACAACTGACCCGTAACCTTAACGATCTCCAAATACAAACAAAAACACTTAGCTCTCATCATCAACAACGAAAATAATAAAATAATAATCCCAATCAATCATTTCAACTATCATCACAGTAACATCATGATAGAGAAAGAGAGAGAGAAGGGTATTATGGTCTTCACATATTTTAATCTCTTGAGTTTTGTGTTTTGGGGGCTTAAAGAACAAAAATTTTATTTTTGGGGGCAAACCACCCGTTAAAAAAGTCTTGAGGGGAGAGTACGTTTTTTTTTTTTTGTTTTGGGGGCTGGAAGCATTTTTCCTTAATAAAAATAGTTAATGAGCACTTAATGCTCCTTAACATATGCCATGAGAGCACATTATAGAAAGTGTTTTGACAAGACATAGCCCTCAGGGCAAGCGATAAAGAGGAGAGAGATAGAGAGGGGTATGAACAAAGAGAAAAAAAATGAGTGGAAAACACAGGTCTCTACTCACCCGCAACGGCTAGCAAAACCCTCATTTTTAATATATTTTACTATATGTGCTTGTTGTGTGTTGGGCAAGGGTGCATTCGGTCCGGATACGGCTCGGATATGATGCTTATCATATCCATATTCATTTACCCATCTCGAATACGAATACAGATATGGATATACCTCAGTAAGGAAAATTCATATCCATATCCGCTAAAAGCGAATACGGTTACGGATATAGATGAGGATATATAAGCGGATATGCATGCAGATACAAAACGGATATGAGAAACTAGATAGTATTGATAAAAACATAGTTCATGTGATACAAAAGAGGTCGTTAATATGTTCATTATAATTGAAAAGCTGAGATTAGACATCTTGATCATCAAAATTAACCATAAATCCGTAATTTAAGAATCGAAACTATCGTAAGAGTATGACTAATATGTATTCGGATATTTCAGATACGGATATAGATATTTTACTATAAAACTATATCTGTAACCATATCCTATCGGTTATAGATTTGAGTAATCATATCCGCATCCTAATGGATAAGGTTACAGATATTTTCTCGGATACGGACACGATTTAGCGCCCTAGTGTTGGGTGTTGCAAGAGACAGAGAGTCCCAACTGTACGAAAAGAGTTGGCACATTGAGAAACACACAACGCCATTTGTCATCTCTCCTCCTTCCCTATGAAATATAAGACACACCACATGATTCTCTCTCGCCTCCTCTCATCCCATCTTCAATGGTCTTATCGTACCTAGGACCGGCTCCACCCTTTGATTATCTGTTTCACTTAAGGAAGCTAAAATGGGACCCAGACGCTCCATCATGAATCAAGTGTCTCTCATCACTTGCATTTAACTATATAATCAAGCCCCCACAACTTGACCGTAAGGTACTTACTCCAGATACATTGCATCTCCTCTAGCCCTTAGCTGGCGTTCCTGTAAAGTGCAGCCCCTCTCTCTAAGATTTTGAAATCAAAACCACCTAGCTAGCATTACATTTCAACCTACGACTGAGACCAAAGTCCTATAAAAGTGCTCGTTCCTTCACCAGCTACATTCTTTCCTTCTTCCATTAAATCTAAAAGATTCATTCACACTTATTCTGTTGGCTTTGTGTTAGTTGATGCATAGGTTAGGGTTGGGAGTGAGGTCAGGGTTGCTTCTGGTGGCGGTGGTGCTGATAACATGGATTGCTTCGTGCAACAGATGTGTGACTCTCTTCACGACGGGTCCTTGGGCATCGATCTAAACATCGACCTTGAGCAGATGAATAATGTTGAGCCCGCAGTCCCTTGTTCAGGTACGTTCACATTCAATGTCATTTTCCTCAAGCATGGGGAAGGAAGACTTCTCGTTTTTGTTGAAAGTATTTTCTCGAGCTTTCCTCATCTTTCCTCATTCAGGTTACCCTGCAGATGTTGCGATGGAGGGGCCAAGCTTCTCGAAGCCGGATGCCGGCTTATTAGCTGACATGTTGGCTGAGCAAACTTCCAGAGGGACCGAGAGACCATTCTTTGGGAATGATTCGTCTACCGGTACATATCTGATTCTCCTCCTCTTGCCCGATCTTTTATTTGACTAATGAATGATTGACTATCGCAGCGTCAACCATCGGAGTTAGCCCGGTATCTATCCCTGACATATCCAGTTTGCCTCAGAATGACGGGCTTGCAGGTATGCATACGATTCAGGGATATTGTACTTTTCTTATGTTCACCTGTCTTTTGATTAATCTATGAGTGCAATCATAGGACCAGCCACTAGGACCGATTCTCATATGACTCCTGGCATCCTTCAAATGCCTATGGATGATGGATCTGCAGGTATGCAGATGACTGTGCTATCCCAATCCTTCTTATTTGTCTAAATTTTCATTTTGACTAATAAGAAAGTGTCATCCTAGGACCAGCTGCTTGGGCCGATACTCTCATGACCCTGGGCATCCCAGCTGTACCTGAGGACGGGGGGATTGCAGGTATGCATACGATTTTCTTGTCCCGCTTCTCCTTACTTATCCAAATTTCCATTTGGTTAACCTAGGAGTGTTATTGTAGGACCAGGCGTTGAGCCTGATACTGCTACAGTTCCCGGGGCTGAAAGTCCTCATAGCAGTGGTGCCTCCCCATCTTTGCCGAGTGGTGCGAGCAACCCGCCTGCAGGGGCTGTGTAGGCATCAAAAATTGCCAATAGGTCCCCGCACACAGCTCGGTATTAACGATCGACGATTGAACGTCGCCGTGTCTGCTCATGGTTCCGGTGGCGATCATGGTCGTGCTCGTGCTTTTCGTTCTGTTCGGTGATCAGATCATCGGTGATGTCTCTGTGTCTCGCTTGCCTCTGTATGAATAAATGGCGGTGATAGTTGTGATAATGTGCACGCAAGTGTTTTGAGAAAATGTAGGAACTTTTTTATTTCTGTTTCCTCGCATTGTTTTATTACTTCAGTTTCCATTGAAGAATACAACATCCAAAATCAGATGGCTCTGGGAGAAGAACTTTTATTCTTTCCACAGATCCACCAAGGTTGTAAACATAATGGTACAACAAACTTGAGACGGGATTAAATTAAAAGAAAAAGTCTACCCTTTAGACGGTGATTGTTCAATGGCTGTTGGTGATGGAGGAGGAGACCAGGAATAGAGCAGGAGGCCGGAGATTAGCACCGCTGTGCCTGCCAGAAATCCGGCCGAGAGAGACGATGCTACTCCCATGTGAGGCAAAGGAAATGTGAAGGCGTAGATTGCAAGGGGCACTGCATTAAACAACAGAAGAAGAAGAAAATTGCAAGTTAAGTAACTATTTAGTTTGAAGTACAGTGAACAGTAATAGCTGTTTTTTAATCACAACAAGCAGCCAAGGACCCCGCCCACAGGTTTTTATATGCTGCAAGTTAAGAGAAAAGTAGATGCAACCTGCTCAGCACGATATAGGATTTTTGCGCAGGGACAGCAGTCACAGCACGCTTTAGTTCAAAATAATGCCAAAAAGTAAAAAAAGCGCATAATTTTTTCTTGAGAAGCCAACCGTAGTTAATATTGCAATGACTTGATGATCAATTGAGAAAACTGACTGACTGAGCCGCTTCATACAAAAATAAGCACGAAGAATAGCAGGGTTATTTAATATTTCAAGCAGCCATTTCAAGAAGAAGCTTCACGTCTGTTATTCATCCGTAGAATTCTCTATGGATAATGTTACAAAATGCGCTAGTCGGACTATGTGTTTCAGCAAGCTCCTAGCGCTTAAGACGTCTAGACAGCGTCTAGACAGTTAGTTATTTTTAAAATTATTTAATTATAATAATTGATAAAATAAATATATTAAATTCATATAAATTTGTAAAAAAATAAAAATCTTAGGTCCACAATAAACCATGCATAGTTAAATACTAAATAATCAAAATAATAACTAACAGTGTTATAGAAAACACTAGGAGGCCTAGGCATTGGACTTGATGCCTAGAGCCTAGGAGGTTTTCTTTTTTTATTATTTAATTATAATAATTAATAGTAAATGTCAATGTTATAGAAGGCTTAGGTGTCGGACTAATGTCTAGGCGGATCTCTTTCTTCATTTAAGTGGCGATCGAGGAAGTTCTGCTGAAGGTCGGAGGAGATAGTGAAGGTGTTCATATTTGGAGCTTAAAGGAGTTTGGAGGAGGTTGAAGGATGTGGAGGCTGCAACACAGAAAATCATGATTAATACCGAAATGATGCAGTCTACGTAAGCGGACAATGCTCCACTAAACACTCCAAAAACCTAGGTGGGCAACTTAGGTACCGTCAAGACGCTAGTTACGTGGTTTAGGTACCGTCTAGACCTAGGCGTATTGCCTAGACGGACTAGGCAGAGGTTTTTTAAAATAGTGCTCTCAAGCATGACGAAAAACTGACTTGATAATTTTTAGATTAGATAGAAACAACGGTTTCTTAATAGGAAGCAGAATGAGATTCTGTCTAAATGGCGAAAAGGAATGGGAATCTTATCTGAGCTTTACATTAGTATTACACCAATTCCCGTCAAAGCTTGCTACACCTGTGCCAGTCTGAATTGTAATGTAATTTCATTGTAATTTGCCTTTTTCCTTGTAGTAAAATTTACATTATCACTAAAACCCAAATTTATTGCTCAAAATTTTTCTTATTTTGGAAACAACAAAGTATGAGAACAAATAGTTTATACCTCATTCGGAGGGTTCTGTCATTTAGTAATTTCATGCTATTTTGTTCAATACTTTATTGAAAGATGAAGCAGGTGAGCTCCATGGAGCGAGTTAAGGCAGCCACCAAATCATTAATTATCCTATGGATGTCTATCTAGAGGAATGGCAATTAAGAATTTTTTAGGACAAATCTTGGCCATGTAATTTTTTGTAATTTAAGCCCACTAAGATTTAGGCTCAAAATTTATACACGTATCAGCCCACTAAGATGTATAACAAGATGGCTCTAAGGAAATTAGATGCATCTTGAATTTCCTTTTCCTAAACTTTTCATTAACCACAGTTTCAGCTTCTTGCTCCTACTTGTACTATCTTGCACGTTAAATTTCAAAATTAAGGCCTTTTCCTAACAAAAGAGTTTCTTCCTACTACCAAACTCCTGGTTTGAGTTTATTCGGGTCAGTCAACATGCACTAACATTTCTCCAGGGACAAAAACTATAGTTGTTGGAGGATCAAAAACCATTCCATGTAACTGGTTTAGGTCACTATTGCAAATAGCACAAAAAGAATTGTTGCCTCCCTGAAAAGCAAGCACATAAGCTATGGTCGATAACTAATGATTTACATATCCTAGTAAAACACATTTCTAAGCTCTATTCAAATTTCAAATCTCTCTCAAAACTGGAATGGTGAATATCCAGTCATCAAACAACCAAAGGGTTTGTGCGCTCTGATGGCTTGATGTAGGAAAGAAGCGAAGGGCGGACAGATTGAAAGATGGCCAGACTAACAAAAATTGCAGATGAAGACTAACCAACCTTACCGAGCTGGAGCTCTTGAGACACTTTGATTAAATTCTATCCCTTAAGAACAGCAATCTTTACAGCGTAAACCATAAACCTCCAATCCTCCATCCAAATCAAACTAATATTTTTGTTCCACTCGACTTAGAAAAGAACACCAAATCTGTTAAGACTCCTGATTATTGCTTTTACATCCTCAAACCAATTGTAATTTAGCACTCTTGTTCTCTTCCAAATGTGAGCCTATGACTCTCCGAAACTGGCATTCTTTTTTTATCTTTTAACGTCTTGCATTCAGTATCTTGATTTACTGTTAATTTCACTCATTCTGCAACATGTGATTCCTTTTGCAAGGTTCTGTCATAAAGAACAGCCACAAATGTTAACTGTCAAGGCACAATACACATTTATCTGGTAAGAAGAGGACACAAACCCTATCCAACATCAAGATCATTATAAGGGAAACACATGCCCCCTTTTTCACTGTGCCGGGTAGCAATCAGTAATCATATCATTAACGTGTGTGTATGGTCCTGTTGCGAGGACACACCTGATAGCCACACATTAGCGCTTCTTAGTCATGTACTGTGTCATCAATGTCATATATAGATATATTACTAACATAACAGTAGCTATTAGTATCCATAAATCTCATGTGCATACGCATTTCATGTTAATTATTCATGTATCATCGTGGGTTTCAAGTCAGAATAACCATTGTCGGGTTCATGTCAGTATAACCAAGATATACTGTCACATGTCGAGAACAAACCAATTCCATAACACTTTCTTAACATGCAAAAATTGAACTAAAATCATGTAGAACCCCGTAAATTTATTAATGAATACATTTAGTTATTAGTGGTAAACTTTTCTTTTGAGATGAATAACCATATATATGTTAAATAAATGTGATAAATAGTGTTTGGGAGCCTAGCAAGAATTTCTATGTTAGAGAAATCAAGGGGATTGATCAGCATGTGATAGAAGGCATAGCAGGCAGTTGTTCTGCTGTGCGGTCGACCGCGATGTGCGCGGCGGTCGACCGCACAGCAGTCGGGCACACAGGAGACTTTTCTCCTGCTGTGCGGTCGACCGCGCAAGGCGCGGCGGTCGACCGCACAGCAGGCAGAGAGTTTTTCTGTGTTGGGTCTTAATGGGTTTCGGGTCGGGTTCGGGTCGAGTTGTGGGGTTAGTATATATACTATCATACCCTAAAGAGCCCCATTTCTCATCTGAAATCAGAACCCTAGCCCCCTCTCTCCCCCTCAAACCCTAGTTCTCACTTCTTGGTGATTTGGGAGGAGCTTTGAAGGGTTTTTTCGCGCTTGGTGATTTGGGAGGAGCTTTGAAGGTTTTTTCGACGGATTTTGAGTGGATTCAGCGAGAGGGACCATCTTCCTTCAGATCTAGGGCGTTGCTTTCATCAGAGGCGAGTAACATCTCGCCCAACTTCATCCCTTTTCGTTTTTATGCTTAGATTTGAGTTTTTATCCGGTTTTTATTGAGCCCAAATCGTATTTTTGTAGATAAAGTAGACCTTATGGCATGAGGGGCAAGAATCATACATTTCAGTCTTAAAAGGTTCACTAATGATGTTTAATAAATGAGATTTTGAACTGAAATGCTTTTAGAAGAGTTAAACTCATTTTTACTGTTTAAGAACTTTTAAAATCATGTTGATTTAAGTTGGGATTTTTGTTAATGAAGTTGTGATGTTAGTAACTTACCGATTCATGGGAATTGAATGATACGAATTTAGACCCGCACAATGAAACACGTGCACAGTTGGGACATGTATATGTATTTCCACATATGCTAGTGAGAATTACACTTCTTCGTTCATAGTCCACGTGTTGAGCATGCATTTTTATTGATCCATGTGTTGGATACTTGTCATCTTGGTCCATGTGTTGGACATGCATTTATTTTAGTCCATGTGTTGGACCTGCATTCCTTTTAGTCCATGCGTTGGACATTTTTGCTAAACCTTGGGTATGGTACACATTTGAGTTTGGGACACGACATTTTTGATACCGATGAGACATGATAGCTACCTAGGCTGAGTACGACACTTATGTAGATTACGGCGTGGTATTTATGTAGGTCAGTACAAGGTACTGTATTTATGTTCTGAGATGGGTTGTATTTCCTTGTTACTTATTTCTGTTCACGTATTAGACTCCGGGTTTGGTACTTAGGGATTTTCAATTTGGGATACAAGGTATATACATGAGGGTTTCCTTGTTTGGATTATTTCGCTCGACGTACCTATGCCCGTGTTGAAACTTCATAAGTACTAAGACCCATTGTTTATTGTTAGGGTAATTGTTTATATGTGTATATATATACTTTGTGATAACTGTATTTTTCTTATACAATGAGCCCTCTCCCTTGGGGTTGGTTGTGATGTTGCTCGCTAGCGCTTTGACGCTCGTTGTCCCTCCCCCTTTCAGGTAACGAGCCAGGAGCCCGGAGAGTCGCAGGTTGATGGCGACACACTTTAGTGTTCGACTATCTATTCTAGCTATGTTTTATTTTGGAGCTCCACTATAGACTTTGTTTATACATTTGAGGACTTTATTCTAGATGTTGTAAAGGCTGTGTGCCTTATTTCCTTTATTCAGACTTGTTGTAATTGAGATGTATTAAGAACTCCAGTTTATTCATTTCAGATTTTGACTTTATATTCCTGTATGTTGGATGATGGAATACTATTTGATCTCTATCTTTTCATCAGTTATCTCTTGTAGTATCTTTTACTTGCTTTTGTACCTACACCTAT